GTTCTAGTTGCATCCTGATTCCACTGTTTTGGGAGTCCATTGAAGCTCTAACCCTTGGGGGAAATACTGAACCCAGGAAGAGTTAAGTAGTTTTAATGACATAGTTATCCGTCTCTGTGTATGTTATTTCTAGAAAAAATTAAGGACTTAAACATTATTGTAATAGTAGCTTAACAGTATCTTAGCTTCACCAACTAGCTTTTTTAATGATTTCCCAAAGTACAAATGCAAACAGAGTCCATACAAAGGCATTTAGAAAGAAGAGTTTCTCCCTTTAATTTGAAGTTAAGTGTTAGCTAATCTGTTAGCTAATCTTAAAATGTCTGTTTCTTGCTTTCACTTAACATCAGTGTGTTGAGAAGCCTTACGAATCCTTCTGCAATATATTTGTTTGGAGTGACGTTTGGAAATTTTTCTAAAACATTTCTGGACTATTAAAATTGAGGGTAAACGTTCATTTACCCTCTGAGCTTGCTAAGTGGCAAATATTGGTGCTGTTTCAACTAACACTGCTGTTAAAATTATCAGGGGCAATTAATAAGAAATTGAGAGGGATTTTTATTCTTTGAGATGTTAACGTGATTCAAAGAAACTCCTATGTTGCTCACCGTCCTTCTATATTTCCTAAAAACAATGCTGATCTTAGAAGGCAAAAAAAGCAACCCTACCTAATCTCTGCCTCTTCCCTTAATTTAAGACTTTGTGATTTTAATACCACAGTGATGGCATTGATTGTCTGGTGTGCACAGGCAGGAATTGGAGCTTTCCCTGGTAGGATGAAGGAATGTTTCTCCTTTGGGATTCATTCATAAACTCTTGGTAGTGTTGCAGTGAAAGTGGTCAGAGCAGTTGTCTCGGGGGCACATCCCTAGACTCGAGGGGGTTGCTGTTTATACAGTTGCCTTTGTCACTCTTGTGGTTTTCAGTGCATAAATACCCACTGCAAGTAACTGCATGAAGACTAGGGTTGAGATTAGTAAGTTTCTTGGTAAGCAGTCAGTGGGAGAGCTCTAATTAAATTGCACATCATGGATCACTGCTGTTCTCTAAGGCTAGCTTTGTTTAACCTGCATTTGAGCAGAATACTTTATTAATCATGTGGTGATAGTTACAATAAGAACCGTGAAAGAAATCTCCATCCCGGGTCATCCGTGGATCGGGTTTTCCTCTGAGGCGTGGGCACCTATAAGCAGAGTTTTGTCTTTACCCTATAAGATTCAAAATTATTCAAAGTAACACTCAGGTATGCCGTTCAGCAGGTTAGTTACGACGTCGGGAGTAGCTTGGGAGAACAAGGAAACACAGACTGCTTCAGGTTGCCTTCCCAAACCAACTCAAAGGTTTATTCATCAGACAACAGTTTATATAGAGGAAAAGGGTTCGTGTGTCAGCAGATTCTCAGTTCAAACCGGTACAGACCAAATAAGGAAGCGTCTTCCTGCCCTCTGAGCAAAGAAGTATTCTTTGTATAGTTTATCAGTTCAGCTACAATTTATGATTATCCCAGCGAAATACACTCCTAGACATAGAATACAGAGTTCTTTCATTAGTGAATTCTGAAACAAACCACCTGGCCTTTAACAAACCCTTTTCTAAGAGATAAAGAAGAGAGGATGGGAGTAAGGAAGTGATCTGTGGTATTTTCGACCTTGAGGTACCAGCCTGTGATTCTTACACATTAATTCTTGGGTCAAAGAGAAAAACAACTAGTAAATGGGCCTTATTGAGTAACAGTTTTCCTGTATAATATCACTATAAAACAATATCCTGTAAATGCTACCATGGTATCAAAATATCACAACAAACAGTAACAGACTGAACTAAATTAATGATATTAAATATAAAAATACTTTTTTTTTTTTTTTAAATTATTGTGCCATGGTCCTGTTCCTAGATGACCGTAACAACAAGAACAAACTGTCAACCCACCTGTTTGAGAGAAGGCTGTTTAAAATAAAGTAACAAAGGAAAAATAAGAAGTTAAAGTGTGGAGAGACAACAGGGACAACTGAAATGGGCTGCATGCTGGTTGACCCGTGCACTTTTACTGTTCCTTTCTAGCTCGTAAAATTTAGAATGTTAAATTCTATAATTCAGTTCTGCCTTTTGGTTTGGTGTCCTTGCAAACCTTGATAGGTGCCATTATTGCTGGTTGGATGTTCTATTCTCAGTGTTCAAGAGAATGCAGAACACAGGTTTGATATCAAATTTCATCAGGTTAATGTGGATCATTAGTGCTCAGTTTTTTGCCATCATGCTTGCTTATCCTTTGTGGGGGGTTTTGTTTGGTTGTTTTTTTTGTTTTGTTTTTTGTTACCCTGATAAACAAATTCATCAAAATCTTAATGCTCCTATTTAAAACAAAAAACTAGCAAAACATGCTTGCAAGGTAGAAATTTCATAAATTGGTTGACACATTGGCCATTGTTATTACATTCAAATTGACACACTATTGCAGAATTAAACATGGAGATACTGCTTATTTTAGAATTTTAATAATCCCTACAATTTTTTTTTTATAAACTAAAGAATCAAATTATAAGCATGCATGCAAATCAAAACACTGATCCAAAGACTTGCCCACTAAGGTGATATTAGTATTTATTTTTGTTAAGTTTGAAAATGTGTGAAACCTATGGAAGTCAAACAACAGCCTCTAGCTCAGCTGGCAGGGATAGGTGAAGGGAAAGGATTACATTCAATAGTCCACTTGTTCACTTATGACTCTCAAAAGGTTGATTCTGTTCATCTGGACGGGTGTTCTCAGTGAGAGAAATGTTTCTTCACTCATATAAGTGACTCCTTTAGTCTCAGCTGACTGAAGGCTTCCCCAACCTTATAAACAGTACATTTGCACAACTAGCCCACTAAATGAACAATGGGCTGAGAGGTCAACTCCTTGATCATTAACATGCAAACTGTCATGACATTGATCAAATACCATTGATCAGTGGCCATGAGTAGCATGAGAGTTAAAATGGCTGCAATCACAGCATTGTAAGATGTACCCTTAGGCACCCTCCTCGATTCAAAGATGGTCTTTCCCTTTTCACATAAGTGACCCAGGGTGATATAGAAAACTGTTTTGGGGGGGGTTTGTTTTTGCAATTTATTATTATTTTTTTTTCTCTGATAGTTTCCAACATAATGGCCACCTCCACTGAAAGACACTTTCCATCCTCAGCCTGTATCACCACCAAATCAAGACAGGATGATCTTTACTCAAACTCATAAACTTCAGTGATGAATCAGAGTAGTAGTAACTGGTGTTGCTCACTTGCCTTGTTTTCCCAAAAAAAAATCTTGTTTTTTGGAATGTGTTTTATGGCCACCTACAAGAAACAAACAGGATTTTGGTTAGCGCTTCAGGATGATTATAGTTTGCATTGTTCATGAAAAACATGTAACGATCCTTACCGGTAAATTGTCTGCTTTACGATAGCCGGCAAACACTGATCCAAACCCTCCTTCACCAAGTTGATGCTCCTGGATGTATCTGGCTTCAAATTCAGCTGAACGGACACAATCAAGAACCAATTTGGTTTCATAACGTGTGAGAAAGGACAATGGTAATATGGTACCAGTGTTACCTGAACTCTAACACAAGGGAATGTCTAAGATTAAGTATTTAATGAGTGTTACATTAAGCACAAAATGTGGTTTGAGGGATTCAGAATTTCAAGCATACCTCTGCCAGTGTTCACCGAGGATGAAGTTGGATCATTCTCCTTGTAGTCCAAAGGCCCCTCGCCAACTCCCCTGCTTGTCACAGACTCTGACAGCCTTGTGCTTTTGCTGAAGGCCTGTTCAGAACTGGCCTTCCGTTTGGTTTCCTTGCAGAGCTTGACTGATGTGTTCCGTGTTGCCATTGTGCTGTTTGTTGAAAGAAAGGCAGACTACAGATGACCCTGAATTTATAGTGACCTGTAGCCATTGTCTGCATTGCAGACACTGCTTGTAGCAGCAGTAATGACACCTGGTTATGTCATTTGGAATTCACCAAATCTAATATTGAATCTAAGTGTGACATTGCCAAACGATGTTGGACTTTCGTGGTTTTGTTTTTTGTCCCCTCCCAAATTAGACCAGGAGTGACATGTTTAGTTGAATGTTCTCATATTGCAGTCTGAGTGGTGTCTAAAAAGACATGGCCTTTATAGATTGGGGAACCTAGTCTTGTTAGGAGAGATGGCATCCTACTTTGGATGGAGCAGCTCTAGTAATCTGGACAGTTTATTCATGCTGAAATGGTGGTGCAAGAGAGGCATGCTGGGCTGTTTCGAAGGTTGTCAACTCTTCGGTTTTAGCAGGACATCCTGTATAATGAGCAAAATTGGTTTGTCCCTTTACTCTACCTTAAATGTCCCATACTGACAGTTACCTGCAATGTCACTTTCTGACAACAGATGGCACTCTGATAAATTCTAAATCTGATTTGACCACAGTTGTATCAGGAGTGCTTGTGTCCAGTCATAGCCGTAAGTGATGGTGTTGTGTCAAAGTTGAGACTTTAAACTGTTACAAATGACTTGACCTAAAATCTGACAAATTGGTCAATCGTATCTCTCCAAGAATATCAAGTAATTTGGAACTAGAATCTCTTCTATCAAAGTACCTGCTGCACTCAGTTCCACAATGGCTCTACCCATAAGGGCAGCAGAGAGGGAAATTGGTAAAATACCAGTTAATGCATCATGCTATGGAAGCTG